TGGGGCCCTGCAAATTAGATTGACAAAAGGCAGATTAACAAGAGAAAAGCATGCAAATTTTATTAGCATGTGTATCACGGATACACATGGGGAAACTCAGTTATGAATAACTCAATGAGGTGGTTAAAATTTGGGGTCTATACACCTAACTAAGGGGAAGAAAGGGCACTTAAGGAAAAAACAAATGACTTTTTGGAAAGATAAATGGGATTTAGGGGAATAGATGAGAGACATGGTAGTTTGTGACATCTGCCTGGGTAAAGTGTCAACTTCTGTCTCCAAAAAGAGATTAGAGTTGCTCCTAGCAGGGAATTCATTTATGACAGTTGAGTTCTCTTGGGAGGCTGTGCTTTTAGGCAGATAAGGTATTTCAGGAACGCAAATGCTTTCAGCTCAAAATGATTCTCATGTAAAAGTGGCATGTTTTGGAGTGACATATCCTGATCCCCTTCACTACTCAATAAATATTGGTTTCCTCCCTTATTTCCCCAATACCTTATTTAAAGTGGAATGAATGACATTATAGAGTGGTGGCCTCTACATGGCCTGAGGTCTCAGAGAAAACTAGGCAATAAATTATTCATTCAAACATTCAAGTGCTTACTCTGTACAGATACTATGGATAAACTGTGTGACCTCAGTCAAGTTACACACCTTCGTGGTACCTCAGTTTTTTATAAGTAAAATGGAAATAGTAGCATCTACCTTGGATTTTTATGAGTTAGGACTTAGAAGACTGTCAGGTATGTATTAAGCAAATATTAGCTATTATTTGATGTGTGCTTGAATCAATGATTGTACACGTACTGTCTAAGTGAGTTCTGCATCTCAGTTTTGTAATCTCAAAAATAAATTGAGATGTGGTTTTGACCAGCATTAAATTGGGTATGTCAAATATCCTGTGCCTCTATAACTGTATACCACATTGTAAGCCCTCAATTAATTTTAGTTAAATATAGAACTAATTCCATAGTTCAATTGTTCCTCCAGACTTAGATGGGTAAAGTCAGAAAAGGCAACTTGAGGTAGGAAAGAGCGTATAATAATAGACATAAAATACTGAAGGTTCATTTATTCTTTTAAAACATTTATCTAGCACCTATTTCTTACCCACATCTGATGCTCTCCAGTTAGTTGTTAAAGGGCTTAGACTTTTCATAAAAGGCCAGTATGTCTAGGCAATGGGGAAGGTAAGCTAAGTCAGTAGAATACAGTGGAACAGAGCCCAGAGAGATGACGTAGGTGCACGAGGTTCAGCAAGAAATTCCTGGTCCCTATTCTTCTGGAGGGCGTTATTTTTAAAAGTGAAATATATATAAGACAGTGGGTGTAAGTTTGGGCTATGCCACATCCCTCCTTGAGGACTGGAACACTCATTCCCTGGTTGTTGGGAGTATTGACAGATGACAGTTCTCAGCCAAGTCCCTCTCCTGGGATTACCTTCAGGCCAAGAGGGATACTTCAGACAAGTTTTTGCCTATGAATGGTCAATAAGGGGTTTCAGTGCCTGGCCTCTTTTTCTCAAGGCGGAAAAACTCTGAAAGGCTATCCTGGGACCTCAGCTAAACAACTCCTCCTTTCCCTCTGAGGCAATATACTTCCTTCACTCCCACACAGAACACTACCAGGGATCTGACCTAATACACTTACCAAGTTTCAGCTGGGGGTCTTGAGTTTAACATCTTCTCAAATGCCACACACAGTTTAATGGCCCGTAAACCTTGGCAATACTTCAGGCAGAATGAAGACACAAGCAAATGGATTTTCCCATAAATATGAATGACAACCTTTTGGAAATATCTCATTGCCTGGCTTATAAATGCTTCATCTTGAGTCTCATACAGACAGTGAAACAACTCCAGGCATCCCAGCTGTGATGGGAAATAGTCATTGTTTCCTAATATTTTCATCCACTGAAGTATCTTCCACTTTATCTCCAGTGACATTTTACAGTTAAAAGTCTCCTCCAGTTGTTTTACTTGATCTTCATTCAATAGGCCAAACAAAAAGTATTTCATCTGCATCAGATGGGGCTCTCTATGACTGTTGCTTTCAAGTAACAGCTTCAAGTCTTGTTCAAAGGACTGAGAGGAACGATCTGTGATTCCCCAGCTGTCTTTCAACAAATAGAACATAGCTGCAAAAAACTCCTGAATGTGTAGGTGGGTGAACTCATAGCAGTTTTCATACTCTGTGTCCACCTGAAGAATATTCATGTCCAGGAAAACCGGGACATCAGATTTAGTTAACCCATGCTTTCTGAGATTTTCCCTATAAAACACGTGTGTCATAGTCCATACTCCTTTAGCAGCCAAGTGGCACAGGCTCCTCAGTTGGGTTTGGTTGGGAAGACTAGGACAGCGTCCATCTACCTGTGTGAACAAGCTAGAGATATAGCAGGTAAACAGAGCTGTGGTGGTTTTGCAGGTCAATGTAATATCACTACCCTTCTTCGTTTGCTGTTCCAGACAAGTACAAATGACCCAGCACACTAGGGGGACTTTGCACATGCTAAAAAGCATCTCATTGTTTCTTAGTAAATCCAATGCTTGCAAGGCTAGCCTCTTGTCTTCAAAAAACTGGTAAATATACTCCTCTCTTGCATCCTCAGACAGACCTAGTAGCTCTACAGAACGCGGACTTTTCAACAAAGGCTTTAGTTTCTTACAAGCTGCGAGCCTCGTTGTCACCAGTAAGGATGACTCAGGGAGCATCACTTTCCTCAGCAAACTACTCATGACGAATGACACTGGGTGTACCTGGGTCCAGTCATCGCACAGCTCAAACTCGGGTTCCTCAAACGCGAAGTTTAGTTCATCAAAACTATCAATTATAAAAAGGAGACTATTTGGCTGGGACATAATCCTTTCAACAGGGCCTTCGGTGCTGGGCCAGTCTTTTGATATCATCTGAACAAAGCTTCTTTCTCTCAGCTGGTTAATTTCTCTTGCATTAAGATAAAACATATAGGTAAATTTCTGATAATAGAGGTTGCCCTGGGCCCAATCTAACAATGCCTTTCTCACCAAGGTGGTTTTTCCAACTCCAGCAGCCCCCTGAAGCACCACTGTCCGTGGCTGCTCACCAGTTCTGACATCCACATCAAACAAATGTTCCAACAGTTCTCGACCTTCCTCAGCAATTTTATCATGGAAATCTTTAGGTTCTCTAAACAAACACTTCTTATGCCGCATGATGCAAAATTTTTCCTGTATTTGAATTTTGTATTCTGTTCCATCACCTAAGTCAAAATGAAGCAGAGAACAAACAAAAAACAAACATACATGTGATGAAAACAAATTCTAGGATTTGCTATGTTAGGAATACTGGACTCGGAGTTAGGAACAAGAAGCGATACAGGCTGAAATCAAAGTGCAGCTAAGAAAAGAATGTAAATAAAACAAAAATATTCCTAGCTTTAAAACCTACATTAGAAACTGAAAAAGTAGAACAATGAAAAATGAATTAGTGATGGAAAATAAAAATTAAAATTCGTTCTAGAAATATTTTCTCTTCTTTGTATTTTTCCTCTACAGAGAAAAAAAATGATATATGTGTAGAACAGTCATCATCCAGATTAAAAAGGAACACAGACAACAATTAACAGTAATAGCCAGAGAGGACCTAAAGATAGATCTGAAGCTACAGATCAAAATAATCCACTTTATACAGGTAAAACATTAATAAACATTGAAGTGTAAAGAATATTTTAAAGAGAAGAAAAAAATTCCCAAATGTGCAAGTAAAATGAAAATATAGTTTCATCTTTACCTAACATCTGATTCCACCCTTAGATCTCAATAAATATCACTATCTCGGGAGGGGGGAAGTCTTCTCTTAAACCCAATGCTTGAATAGTTCCCTCTTTCATAAATTCTCATAAAGCAGTATATATTACATTCACAGCACTTATCACAAGATGTAATTACTTCATTTAATTTTTAAAGTAAATACAGTTGACCATTGAACAACACAGGTTTGAACTGTGTGGGTCCACTTAAACGTGGATTTTTTTTCAATAGTCGGCCCTCTGTATCCCTCAGTTTCACATTCACAAATTCAGCCAACCATGGATCAAAGATACTATTTTTGATCTGAGGCTGGGAATCTGTGGATGAGGAAGGCCAACTGTACGCATAGTTCTATGCCATTTTATGTAAGGGACTTGAGCATCCATGTATTCTGGATCGAGGAGGGGCCTGGAAACACTCTCCCCTCACATACTGAGGGACAACGGTTAGTAATTCTTTCCTTTGGCATTCAGTACAAACATCTACGATAGTTCATATTCCACTAAATTATGCTTAGTTCTTCCCCAGGAAAGATTATGGTATTAGAAGGCAGGTACTCTTTCTTTTTAGGGTGTAATATCTAGTATAACACAGTACTTAAAATTGAGATTATAAAGATGATTTTTACTTTCTTCGTTATATTTTTATCTATATTCCAAATTTTGTAACAGTGCGTCTCTATGAAGATGGAACCCTGGTTTCTTAAATTTATGGCCAGTTATACCGCTAAAATAAACTTTATATTGAATCAGAAATTAAAAGTGGGATGTCATCTTCAAGATCATTTAATATAATAAGCAACTTTTATTTATTAGTACTTACAATGAAGTTCCAAGTACTGATAAATAGGTTCTCAAATATTTCTTCAATGAAATAGTGTGGCCTGTTAGAAAGTAGCATAGCTGAGTTAAGAATAAAGGCTTCTCATGGGCCGGCTGAGTGGCTCAGTTGGTTAAGAGCTCACTCAAGAGTGTGAACTCTGAGCAACAATGGTTCAAGTCCCAGCCCGAGCTGAGTAGCCACTGAGCTGCCAACAGGTGGCAGGATGGCTCAGCTAAAACAAAACAAAACAAAACAAAAAGAATAAAGGCTTCTCACCTGATCCATTTTCCTTTGTACAGACTGGAAGTCAGCTACATAGAAATCAAAACAAAGTAGGGGGAATCGAAGTGGTACTGATCTAAGAGTGAGAAAACCTGATTCTAGAAATCACATTTTATATGGAATAATTGGTCACCACCTGTGGAACTCAATTATAATATCATTTCTTAAGGAAGGGAATAGATGTGATAAGCCAAATAGCCCCTGCCAACTCAGGGATTCTCTAGTCCATAAAACACAGACATGGATATACCTTTGTTCATTAGACTGTCATCTTTGATTGGGCATTTCCAAATTCGGGACTTTCTTGAAGCCCTGAATTAACATGATCCTGACGCTGACTTTGGCTAGGGAGCCAGTATTGTTGACTCTTTCTGAATGATAACCAGTAAACAGGTAGGATAGAAGAAGCAGTTAACAAGAATTGAACAAAAGTTCCCTGGGAGACAAACCCCATCCTGCTTCAAAAGCTCAAACTCCTCCCAAATCTGACAAAAGCCCATCTGCTCACCCAGCACTGCCTCCTGATCACCTTGTGCCTCTCCAGCCCTGGTGTCCTCTGGTCCCATGGCCTGAGCTGCCCCTGCAACAAATTCCAACAGGATCATGAGATTTGCTAAGAACACAGCTTTGGTAATGGCCAGAATTCTCCTCAGCAGTCTAATTTTATGACTACCTATTTAAGAAAAGTAGAGCAAACAGAGCTCCAGATGCCACCAGTCCAGCTGAGGGAGAAGTGATGTGGTATGAACAGCATGAAATAGGAGACCTCTTGCCATGCCCCCTACCCTATAACAGGGGAAGTGGTCTAATCTAAGCTTAAGTTTCCTTGTCTATACTGACCTCACAGTGATACAGCGAGTCTCCAAGGAAATCATGGATACACGCCTTGTAGCTGGTAAGACTTGTATACGAGTGAGGAATTTTAGATGTCTACCATATTTCATACTTGGGCATGATTTTAAAAATTGACTTGGCTTATGTTCCTTAATATTATTTCCCCAGTTCTCATATTTCAGCCAAGATTTTAAAACATATTTGAGATTCCTTAAAATTTAGCCTCAACTATGACTTTATTTGTAGTGTAGGCAAAGGAACACTAGATGGGACCATTCTTATCACTCAATTCCTTTAAGCATTCTAATTGATGCAAAATGGATGAATTACCCCCCAATGAAGGAGGCAGGCTGCGTAACAGGACTCAAAACCCTCCCGCCTCTTCAGTGTTCCTCAAACGATCCAACAAGCTCCCAATGTACTTGACCACCCCAGAGCTTGCGTCCCACAGAATGGTTTAATCTCAAGTCTCTTTCATAGAATTATCCTAGCAGACTCCAGGAAGCACTTCCTCCCCCCTACCCCCAGATCTGTCCCCAGCATCACTCACAGTTGATCTCTGCTTTTGCCCTCTCACACAGATCCTTCAGGTTCATCTTGCCAAAGATTTTGAGAGCCACATTCCAGGCCTGCTCTCCTGGAAAATACTTGTTCACCAAGTTAGCCAAATCCTCCCGCTTGGCCTTCTTCACTTCAGCCCAGGGTATCAGGCAGTACCCAGATTCCATGGCCTCATTCTTTAGGAGTAACTTGAATCTATTTAATTCCTCTTTGTTAAGCTCCTCCAAATACAACAGCAGCCCAAAATCAGAAAAGAAGGAAGACGATGGCAAAGCTGTCATCTTGTCCCTGGGAAAATAATCGGAATAAACGGGCCCTATGGAAAAGATGAAAAAATGAAATACCTATTAAAATATAGATTAATTCAACAAAAATGCATTGAAGCTCATTACATATGGCTCAATGCTGACCTACTGTCCTCTGTAATGCATTTTCTATCAAGAAAAATTCCTTTAATATAGATCACTGTATATTTCTTCCACCTTCGTAAGAGTTACTCCCAGTACCACCACTTATGAGCTGTAAGAAATAAAGACAGACAATTCATCTCTGAGCCTCAGTTTATTCTCCTGCAAAGTGAGGATATCAGAGGCAACCTCAGAGGACTGTGGTGTGGATTAAATGAGGTAGACTGCATGTATCACCCAGCACAGAACAGGCTCCTACTAAGTACTGACAACTTTCCTCATCCCTTCTCTCCCCCACCAACACCCGACACATATCTCAGCCTACAAAACACTGTTATTGTACCCCAACCAAACACAACATTACTCTTGAAGCACGTGACTGGAATATGCCACCATATACCTCTTCTTATCATGTCACCTCTGGTCAAACCCATACGCAGTCACTGAGAGTTTGCATTCCTAGCTCACGCTCCTTTCACATCCACTCCCCATCACAATTATTTGAGTGAGTTCAAAGTTAAAGGCCACCCAAAATACTACTCTCTCCCATCCTTGACCTTAACTCCCATGACTTTATTTAACTTTAGCATTTCACTGTGATGCTTTCACTCCAGCATCAGCAACAACTATTCAATCTCTGAAACTCTGAAGTCCCAGAGCCCAGTCTCTATTAATACCGTCCAGTTAATAGATCAGTTTCATGCCCTCTCCCCAACTGTGACAGTTCAAATACCATCAAATGCTGGTCTTTTGAGCCCTGTGTTTTCCCTCTTGTTTATCAGCCATCTTAAGAGCCTTATTCAATCTCTTATTCAGCATGGGCACTCCAGTTAATGACTTAAACCATATCTTCAGGTTTCTCATCTCCTCTTCAGTGATATGCCTAAAGAGACACAGCCAATAGGCAGTGTAGGTGGAACTGAACCTACATTTTTCTCTAAACCCCCACCCCTTTCCAGTCTTACATAATGCCTCCCCCTATGTTTGCCAATGAGATTGGAAAAGTAGAATGGGGAAATAAAAAAAGGCTCCGAAGAGAGATTTTACTTCTTAAACAGAAAATAAATCATCTCAAAACTACATAATAAATCAGGATTATATCCTACAGTAATTGTTAAGTTTATCAGCCAGTTTTTTGTTTTGTTTTGTTTTGTTTTGGGGGTAGGGGGGGTGTATGTTTTAACTGCACTGCAGAGACAATTCTAGATTACAGATTAGGATCTGACCAAAACAAGTTTCAGATTAATTAAAAACAAACAAACAAANAAAGCAAAAGAAATAAATCTGAGGAAACTTCAAAGGAACACTGGATTTTTTCCAAGACATACAAATTATGGTGAAGGAAAATGAGGCATAAAACACAACACCCTCAACTTCCTGCCTAGAAATGTACAGATATCACTACGTGGCGGCCTTTTTCTTCTTTCCTGAAACAAAGAAAGGGGACTCTCTCCCCTTTTGTATAGCTCACCTCTCCATCTGTAATCTGAATCTCATCAGAATCTAATAATAAGGGACTTAATCCATTAATGATCTATCTTCTCTATCTTCAATGTCTCCCTGTCCTCTAAGCCCTTATTAACATTTTAACATGCCAAAGTCTACTTTAGTCTTGTACAAGCATTTCCTTTACTTCACATCCCCATCATCTTATAAACTTCTTCAGCATCTCTCATACTTTACCTATTATATCTCCTCAATCCACCGCAATCTAACTTTTGCAACTGTACTTCCACTGAGATAATTCATACCAATTATGACCCTATTGCATAACCCAATAGGCATTTTGGATTCAATTTTCATTATCTGTAATCAGGAAAAAGAACAGTACCTACCTCTACAAGAATTCAAAGCTAATGCATGCAACACCTAATTTACAGGGTGCCATACGGACATTATTTTAACAATGCCTTGATTCTTGATATGCTCTCTCCCCTTGACTGCCATAATCCCCTGCTTTCTTCATCTTCCCCCTGCCTTTCTGGGTGTCTCTTTGAGCCAATATCTATATGGTTCTGAATCCTAATGGGTATCTACCACATAATAGCTACAATTCTGATAGAGTACAATATACTCTGGCCTCCTTCCCAAAGGTTTTATGCTGTACTTGAACTAACTTGTTTTTTT